CCCTGTCATCCTCAAGATCTCAGCCACTGGAGCCAGCTAAGAAAGGAAACCCAGAGCTCTCTGGCGTACCAGCTTCCTCGAGTCAAGGGCAACCCAGAAGATGATGTCCAAAACTTTAGAATTCATCCATTTTATGGTGGTAGAGTTCATTCTGTGCCACCTAATACTTGGTCTCCTGCTGGTTCTGTCCGGTCACCTCAGTTAAGTTAATAGTAACAGCATTAGCTCGCTAAGCCTCACACATCCCATGGAGGTAGGTCAGCCCCAAGCCCATTATCCCCCCTTAACAGATGGGGAAATGACGCCATGGGAAGATTAGATAATCTGCCCAGCTACACACGGCCTGCTACAGGTGGAGCACAAGATGATCTCACCCCTCGTGCCAGCTCATGAACAGAGAATGCTTTGGATAAAGCCCTCTGAAATTCTAGGATCTTCTGCACTAAGGATGGTTTGCACTATGAGATTCAAAGAGAAATAAGTACAGAAATAACCTTCTCAAAATTGTTCCAATTGTCTTTCCTCTTCTGGTGCCCCTGCAAAACACTGTCAGGAACAAATATTTTTTAATATGCAAATATTGAATGGATTCAAATGCAGTAAGAGGACGGAACATACTGACAGGCAGCAAGCGGCCTAGAGTCAGAGGAGAGGTCAGGCTAGGTGGGGTCCTATCTGTAGCCTCTGTCCTCTACACAAAAGAGCTCCCCACAGACTGCTGCCTAAAATTGTGCCCGCTTCATTCTTCTCCACAATTAGTGCTTGTAAATCTAATCTCAGTGTGCAAGGGAGTGAGAGAGACACAAAGGTGCATTAGATGTCCTTCCAGTAAAGAAGCTTGAAATATCATCAAGGAGCATACAGGAATCACTAAAATACAAAATAAAGACAGCAAGGACCAGAGCTGTGGGGAACCCAGAAGTACAATGGTGAGAGATCGCATCCAGCTATGGGTACCCTGGAGCCAGGTGTCAGGGAGGTTTTGCGCACAAGGGGGAATGGTCCATGAAGGACAGGACAGGGAGGCCTGCAGGATGGGCAGAAAGATCTGGAACCTAGGCCTAAGAAGGGCAAAGCAAGTACACTGCAGGGGATGGCACTGCAGTGCTGCAAGTCAGTGAAGGATGAGGAGTGAGAGAGACAAAGGGTACATGAAGCATGGGGAAGGTATTGGGGTAGGAAAGGCGACTACAAGCCAGATCTCTAAAAGTGTTCACTGTGGACTAAAGAGGTCACATTTTACTTCTAGTCACAGTGCTCTGTACTCTGCTTTGCTGCTGGTAGGCGCTCTGTGAATGTACATGGGGCAAAATGCAAGAAGACAATGTAATTCATGGAGAATGAAGAACAAGACTGCCCCTGTTTGCTTGTACTGATTGCTGTCCAACCAGGACAACTCCTCAGTTTAACTGCCTAAAATTCTGTTATGTTCTGCCCCACATGAAGACCATAATACTCGCCATCAGCTTCTTCTCCAAGAACACTGCGAAAACTACCGATGAGATAATGTCTGTGAAATACCCAGAGTGCTCTGAAGATGTGTGGCAAAAGGCATCAATTTATTAATATTTAATAAGATGCTACCCAGCTCTGATCTTTTTCTGCAGACTAATGTTATGTGTACAGGATGAGGGGATGCCAGATTGGCCCCTAAGTAAATCTTTCCAACAGACAGCTTCCAATCCCACTGCACTCTCCGGGGTTCCTTGTATCTAGGTGATTGGGTGCAGGGTACCAACAATGAAGGAATGGTTTCCAGCAAGAATCCAAGGTGACCAAAGAACTTGGGGCAAAATGCATCAGGTAAAATGGCAAAATAGATTTCAAAGGGTGGTCTTCCTTGAACCTCATTTCTAAACAAGAGAGAGAGTTCAGTGAAGACTTCAGGGGAATTATTTCAGCAAAACCCACATCCTAAGCCAGTTAATATTTTTAGGTCTAACACAGTACCCAAGAAAGGAAGAAATAAGAATAGCTCTGTGGGTTCAATTACAAATGGAGGGGAGAAAATAATTTCAAAAGTTCAAGGGGAAAAAAATCAATCCGTTTCCCCTTCTTAACGCTTTTATTTCTATAAATATACTCACACAAATGGACCTAAGACATTCTTCCTTCTGAAAACACTACCTGTCTGGAATTTGCAAGATAAATGATGTTCCCAGCTAGCTTTCAACCCACCGAAGCTCAAACAACACTCTCCAAAACCTTACCCCTCTTTAACATTCATTTCTCTTCTCTGATTATAAAATTAATACATGTGCTTGGTAGAAATTTTGTGTTTTACAAAAGACAAAATAATCACTAAAATTTACAAGTTCCTAGTTATCTTCTATTATTTTTGTGTGTGAAAAGTTACTTTTTCAATGTAAATTGGAGATTTACTGTATATACTGATTGATGGCCTGATTTTCTTCTTAAAAATGTACTGTATTGTGCCTTCACTATTCTACAATGTTATTTTTATGTACTATTGATAGAAGTATCATTTTTAAAACTAATCCCCTATTACAGGACATCCAGTTTATTTTCACTGTCTGTATTATAAACAAAATTGAAATAAATACCTTTGCCTAATATATTCTTAGTTGTACTTTTAGGATAAGTTTCTAGGGCTGGCATTGCTGGATGTAAATCTAGGCATGAGTTTTAAAAGTTTTGATATAACTCAACTGCCCTCCAGAAAGGTTACTCCAAAATTGGTCCCGTGGCCAGTGGCAAAGCTAATGCCCTTGCTCACTCATTGACCCCTAATTTGGAGATCTTTAAGGGAACAATGCTACTTTTATTTGAAGTTCTTTGATGATTCCAGACATATATTTTTGCCAAAGGTGTTTAGTTTCCACAGCGTTTTTCAGACTATTTTTTACTATGTACTTTTTATCATCAGAAGGACAATATCCTACTCTCTCTCCATGATTACTTCCTATACCACCTGCAAGGGCAGCCCTGTGGCCTCCCTGCTCTGAACCTACCACCCACACTTCACCTTTGTGCTCTCCATGCCTCTCTCAGCAAACATTTCCCAGATCCAGCAGGTGAGTGAGACACAGAATCACCCAGTTCTATATTCAGTCGTTTATTCAGCTGATGTCTCTCGGGGGTCTGTTATGCTCCCAAAACCATGCTAAGAGAGAAGTATAGACAAAATGTCATGCAAAGTCAGGGGAGGGAAAGAAATGAGGTAAAATAGCAGAAGTATACTCAGGTTGAAAGGTATCTAGTTTTACTAGTAGGTGAAGGAGAAGAGAAGGTCAAGCAAAGTAGGTAGAACTTGTGCAAAAATCCAGTGGCATGGCATGCCAGAGCATCATGTGTTTGAAAAAATATTTCATTATTAAGACATGGAGACAAGGAACATTTTCATTATTATTAATGACAAAGAGAGGCTGAGGATAGACTGAAAAGTTAACTCATGCCAAATTTATGCACTGAGTTTATCTGTCAATCTGTTTCCTTTCCCCTGCATTTCAGCTCTGGCTTGCAATTACTGCCTGGCCCAGCTACCACAGACTCTTCCAAAAAACTTCCTTGAGAACACCACTCAGCACATATCTCTCCAGACCTCTCTGCCTGGGACAGAACTCCTGGCACATAAACCAATCTATTCAGCAATCCCCAGTGAATAGATGACTGTTTACGGACACTTGGGTATAAGTTTTATAGGTCTAGCTAGGAATGTCTGGCTAGTGATACATTCTCTCACCTCCCTAGGCTCTTGACATTGGGCTAAACCTATCTAATAGGCATCTGATAAAAGTTTATAGACTCTAACTAAATTAAATTGGGCAGAACAAATGCAAGGGAAGGGATAAATGGACACAGGTTGGATGTGTCTAACTGTCATCTAGACAGCTGGGAAAATTGAAACTGCTTTTGAAAATTAGGTTTTGAACATGATAAGGCAAAAGATAAATTCATTCTCTTTAGGCCTATATTTGGACACCTACCTGGCCATTTCTCTGTGAAACTTACAGACAGTGCTTGTTTAGCTGAGCAGCATGTCCCAAACGCTTCTGTGTATAAAGGTTAATCTACTCTAGAGATAAACATTTTTTTTCCTTTGTGGGAAGACCAGAGGAGAAAAAAGGAGAGATGGTCCCTAAAACAAGCCATCTATGTTGGAATTTTCTTTTTTTTTTTTTCCAAGTCAAATAAAAAATCCTATGAGGATATTAATGCATGTTAACCATACAGCCAATCAGATTTCACTGTGGCATTTTCATATGTCCATAAAATATATTTTTATTATATTCCTCCCATGAAAAAACCTATTCTATACCATTCATGTTTTCATGTAGGCAACAATTCTAGATAATTCTTTCCTGAGGGCAAAAAGTCCAAACATTCCTCAAGAGGCTGGTCTCTCCTCATTCTGTTTCAGATTCCCTCAGGCCTGGATTCATCCCCTATGATGGAAAGTCCTTATGATTATTTGCTAGCTTCTCCCTACATGAGGCTGTGACTTCTGCAAGGCTAAGGGGTATTCCTGCAGTCCAGAGCATCACCCTCCAGGAAGTATATGGTCAGTCTCTGTTATGGGAATGAGTATATATTTAACTGCAAAGGATCTGAGGAATAACCCAGGAAACAAACAGGAAACAGGCCCAGGCAGGGAAAGGACTTTCCAAATTTCCTTGGGGAGTTGTTGATAATCAGCAGGTAAAAGACAGACAGACCAAAAAAAGTCAGTAATGATTTAAGCTTGAGGAATTAGGAAACTGGAGGAACTTGGAATTTGTAAAGAATGACCATGTAGGGGAAAACCAGCTTGGTTTTAGATAGTCTTTACCACAGAGAACAAGTTTGATGTCTCTTCTCCAGACATCCCTTCAAATAATACAAAAATGAAATTAACAAATAAGCAACAAAATAATGGGCCCTCAGTTCATGGCCCATTAATAAACTCAGGCCCCAGTGGAGTCAAAAATCTACATACTTTCTCCTGGGCCTCGCTTCTCTAACCTTAGTACTAAGGCCACCAAGGAAGAGCCTGCTAGACCATGGTCAGCTTGGCCACGTCCCAGGATCGGATAGCAGCTCAGATGTTGGCTATCAGCTCTGTGGTCTCTTCATCTTTAGAGAGTTCAGGGATTAGGTACATCTCCTTGAGTTCTTGCTAGCATTTTGCTGCCAAGGCAAATTGACTCCAGGAGCAGATATAAGATGAAAAACCACAAAGGCTCATGTCTGCTCTTCACTTAGGTAGTGTACTACTGAGAAATGTAAAGAAAGCAATGAGTCTGGGGTAGCAGAGACAACTAAGGCAGTAGTCACATTCATTCATTCATTTCGGAAGTCAGCAGAGAACACTGAGCTTCTGCCTTAGTCTAGCTACTCTTCCAGGCTCTGGACGGAATGAACAGCAGGGCTCAGTGCCTGCCTGGGAGAAATTCAGTTCAGGGTGGTGGCTTATGTCTCCTATAATTGTGCAACCCTGGGGGGCAAGAGAGCCAAGGGTGGGAGGGAAGCTCCCTCAGCCTAGAAAAGACACTCAGACAGAGAACACTGTACTGTGGGGATATTTCAATGTAGCTTCATTAAACAGATTTGTCAAAATGTTCTTTAAACCCATCAGGCACAATGAGAAGCAAAGATTGTCTGACTTACTAGGTGATCTTTAAACTCCTTTTCAAACTTGAGGCTCTTCCAGTATAGCTCTGGTTGGATGACCAGGAAGAAGATGATCTGCAGCCCTCGTGGGGCACAGCTGAAGATACCTTGGGTGTACTGCTCTCTCCACCTTTTCCCTCTTTATCTCTTATTCACTGGGTCTCAGTTTAAATGTCAGTCCCTTCTGAAAGCCTTTTCGATGTCCTTCAAAGTCCAGCCAGCCCTCTGCTTGCCTCCTACAGGTCTCTGTGAGGCACAACATCTTACCAGGACTGCCTGGCTGCCAGCTGCAGGTGGGGTGGGGACTGTCTGATTCATCTGTCTCCTCCCTCCCCACATTCCCTGCTTCCCAGCTCCTTTTCTTATCAAAGCACAGTGAACCAATTGGAACGGCAGCCCAAGAGGCTGCTCTGAGCAAGTGTGAGATAGGAACTCAAGCTCACAGCGGAGAGACCGGAGCTGCTCCAAGCTCAGACTCCTTCAGGTCACTGTCATCATCCTGCTTGTGCTCAGTTCTATTACCACCTGCACCAGATCCAGCTCTCCTGCTGGTCCTGAGGCTCTTTTGGTGCCCTGGAATGTCCACTACAAACAAAGTGATGCCTGCACTTTTTGGAGAAAAGCACGTTAGTGTGAGTTGCATTCAGAGAGTCCAGGAGCCAGCAACAGGTTGCAGGATAAGGAGATCATACGACACTCTTTCAGGACTGCCAACAAACACTTTCTGATTTTTTTTTTTAATAGAAAGACATGTGTATTTTAATACTGGAAAGATAAATAATGGGTAATTGTGAGAATGTAGGTCTTCCTCTGTGTTATTTCTCTATCCAGAGCACATTCACCATGAGATCTTTCCTAACTCTAAGAACTGGTAATGAATATTTTAATAGCTTCTCCTTCCCATTGATAAAAACTCCACTGACTAGCCAGAGCATGCTGATGAGAATGAGGGCGTGGACCAGAAAGGCCTGCACTTTTCTGAGCAGCCTGATCCTTGAAAGTCCCACCAAGTCAGCACAGTAGGGATGATCAGAGCCCACCAGCACTTTCCGAGCAGCAGTCAGGATACTGAAGGAAAGGAGATACATAAGACACACCCAATGTAGACATGAGGCCAGTGGCCCTGGAAAATGGGCTCAAAAGCACTTAAGAGAGAAGAAAGTTATATAAGTAGGGAAAGTAGTACTAAAGGCTGGTTGATAGCCCTTCTCCCCCCACCAAAAACACATCCCAGGCTTAACCCCTGGAACCGGTAAACGTGACCATATTTGGAAAGAGGTCTTCACATTGCAATTAAATTAAGGCTCCTCAGATGAGGTGCTTATCTTGGATTATCAAAATGAGCCCTAAATTCCATGACAAATGTCCTTTTATGAGACAGGCTAGGGCCAGGGATTTAGGTCAGTGGCATAAGCACTTGCCTGGTAAGCATGAGGTCATGAGTTGGATCATTGGTACAAAAAAAAAGTGAGGCAGGCTGGACATAGTGGTACATTCATATAATCCCAACACTGGGGAGGCTGAGACAGGAGGATCACCATAAGCCGAAGTCCAGCCTGGGCTACATAAGCAAGTTCAAGGCTAACCTGACTGGTGAGAGCCTATGTTAAAAAAAAAAAAAAAAAGCAGCTGGAAGGAGAGATAATGGGATCAAACAGGCAAAGACTGGAGTAATAGGGCCACAGGTCAAGAATGCCAGCAACCTCCACAAGCTGGAAAAAGCAAAGGAAAGAGTCCACTTACAGCCTCCAGCTGGAGGGTGGCACTGCTAAAACTATGGTTTTGGATTTCTGGCCTGGAGAACCATACAAGGATAAATTTTTTGTAGCTGAAAGAGAACCTTGTAATGATTCGTCACAGCACACACAGGAAATTAAAACAGCACTGAGAAGCAGTCAGATACATGAGCGATCTGAGTTCCAGAGGTGGGGTTGGCTCACCCATGGCCATGGCACCCCAGCACCTGGTCTAGCACAAGCTCATCCCCAGGCACAGCTGGGTCCAATTTTTAGCTCTGGTTTTCAGGGGACTGGATAAACTGGGGAAATTATCCCGAGGAAATAAAGATTTGGGGGCTTGATCCCTGTCTGTGAACTTCCAAATGATCTATGTGGCTGTCACAGAGAAGAAATAGAGTTTTGTGTGAGTCCCGAAAGAGCAGGATGAAGGGCAATAGAGCAGCCACTGCCTGGAGGGAGATTTCTGGCTCAGCACAACAAACTGTAACAATCAGAGCCAAGGGAGAGCAGAATAGGAGCTCCGGAAGGGTCAGCAGGTCCAAGTGGAAAGGCTGGGTGAGCCAGGGGAATTCCTCACTCACGCAAAGCTGTGCGTGATCGTCTCTGGAGCTGGCAATCCTGTTTGAGGTCTGTGGCTGGTCATTAAACTATCCTGAAATGTATAAAACTGGTAAACCTAAGTTTTCAGCCTATAATTAAGGTATGCTCTCCTAAGAAACTTATTTTGTGAAGAGTTAAATACAGAAACTACCCAGAAATGAGTCTGAGAAAGAAACTTTTCCTACATCTATAATACAAAGTCTCCCCATCCCTAGGAAGAAAGAGGAATGCCAGCAACTTTGAAATACCAAACATGCCTATGTACTTAACACCATTCAAGTTATAAAATTTTGATTTACATACAATGGCTATACTATTAGAAAGTAATACGAATTACTTTCTAATTGCCAAGAGCCAGCGGCATATCCACAGAGCCAGGGGAACCCTGGAGTGCCTGGGTTTGACATTTTTTGCAAGAGAAAAACAGACAACAGAGACTCCAGCTACCAATTAAACTATTTTCCTAAGAATGAATACATGGTATGCTCACTTTTTTCTTTATATGGTCCTAGAGACTGAACCCTGGGATGCTCTATCATTAAGCTACAACCTCAGTCCTTTGCATTTTGAGGCAGATTCTCTCTAAATTTCCCAGATTGGTATCAAATTTGTGATCTTTTTGCCTCAGCCTCTCAAGTAGCTGAGTTTACAGGTATGAGCCTATAAACTGGTGGCACCTTCATCTTTATTTTGATAACTGTCTTTTCATTTGCATTCTTGTGAATTCTATGTTTGGAACAAAAAAATAACAAAGTAGTAACTAAGAAGTTTAATGCATTAATGTTTACAAGTCAGCCCTGGGAAGGGTGTTTTTGGTGTAGGGTGGCTGTCATTGCTGGCTTAGTAGGCTGCAGACTATACCCTGCTACACGGTGGATGCTCAGAACAGGAAGCACAGCACATCTCTTCTGCTTGTATAACTCTTCTCTAAGTCAGAATTTCTGAGAACTAAGCACTGTTGCATTTGGATAAATTTCTCTGAAGTGCTTTCCATTCAGGATTCTGAAAATCTGTCATATTGCCCTTGTACTGAAACAGAGTTCTCAGATCTTTCTTTAAGAGAAGTCAAAAGAATGTAATTCCTTACCTTTAGATTTATTGCCATATCTTTTCTAACCTGTAATTAGGTTTTCTTTTTCCTCAAAAGAACAAGTGTTAAGGACACATATCATTTAGCAGCCAGTTTGGGAAATGACTGGAAGCCCAAAACATTTCTAACCACTGGCAAAATATCTCGAAACATCAGATGAGTCTGAAAACACAGTGTCACTTCACTAAAAATAATGGCCACTGCCCTCACATTGATTGGCCATGCAACAAATCACTGTCCTTCAGCAGATAGTCACTTAAAAAAAATCCCTCATGTTTACAGAGTTGCACAATATAACCTATAGTTACCAAAACAAATTTAAACCAGCATTGCTACTGTCTCTACAAGCATATATTACTTATCATATATCTTGGAATAATAGTACAGCCATTGTATGTAAATCAAAATTTTATAAATTGAATGGTGTTAAGTACATAGGCATGTTTGGTATTTCAAAGCTTTACATATCAGAACTTTTGGTATCATAAAGAATGCTTTCTATAACATAAGTAAAAACTTGAAGGTTACATCGTACAACTATTTAAAATAGGCCCTATTGAAAAGCCAAATTCAAACTTCAGACTCATTTTTGAGGCTGCACCACCTCTTCACTGAATGAAAGCTCTGTGTGTTTAGAGGCATCAGAATGCCACAAGCAAGTGCAGCTAGAGACCACACGCACCCCTTACACAGCAGCATCGTTTCTGCCTCGCTCACACCACTTCGTATCTGGAGAAAATCGCAGGCTTTTGTCAATCTAAACAGCAAATACATTATCAAGTCTACACTAGCACTAGGCTCTATGGAAAGCCTATAGGGTGAAGAGAAATGGGACATTGTTCCCACACACAAAATCCTTCAGTGCTGATAGCAACTGCTTCTCTATGAGAAGTACCAAGTACAGGGAGAAGACAGAGGATAATAAAAATCCTGGGACCAGGGGACTGGGAAGACAGCTTCTCAGCAGAGGTAGGCAAGAGGCACATGACAGGCAGAGAAAGCAGACCGAAGGCGGTGGTCTAGAGGCTGAGACAGAGCCGAGGGACTAAGAGTGGAGGAGTTGTCTGAAGGGACAGACACTGGTTTTGGCGCTTCCACACACAAAGGGCCCACTGAAAATTGCTGAGGAGGGGCTTAACGGATCAGAGGCACACGTTAGGGTGGAGAGTACAGAAAGAAGCCTGATGGAGCGAGAGGGAGAGGAGACAAGAGAAGGAGAGACAGAGACAAAGGATGAAAAATAGAGTCCTGTTTGAGGGGATTTTGAAGTAAAATGACAGGGCTTGGTGATCAAAGTTTTAGTAAGGAAGGAGCAAGACAAAAGGCAAGGTCACAGATGATAACCCTCAAGGTCACAGGTGACTATCCTCCCCTGCTGTAGTTTCCAGCCTGGTAGGGTGAGGAGATACTGAGCACAGGTCCAGCAGGCAGGGCCAGGGCTTTGGTATCAGGATTGGTGGCACCAGGAGCTCAGTCCTACTCAAGTTTTCCCTTTCTATACCCGTGAGAATCTCTTTAGGGCTTGCAGGAGACAGGAGTGAGAAGAGGAAGGAGAGAGACAGACAGACAATCAGACAGACAGAAAGAGGACCAAAGAGCAAAGGAAGAAGAGGCAGAAAAGGAGGGAGAGAGAGAGAATGGTGGAGACAGGTCCTGAGGAAGAGGCTCCACTGTATAATGTGCCCCTTGCATTCTGTCACATGACCCTGCCTATTTCCTTCCAGGCTTTGGTATAAACTGTCACGGCCTTATTTACATATTTACTTATTTATTCCATTTCTCCTGCTAGAATATAAGCTTTAGGAAGACAGGGACCTTGCCTTTTGTTGGACTGTATCTCTGAGGCACCTGAAACATTCTCTCTCACACAGTAAGTGTTCTATGCATACCCACTGAGTAAAAAAATGAGGGACAGGAAAGTGGATCTACATTGTGTTACACAGGATCATAAGGTACTGTGGTGCTGTTTCCCACTGCCCTGTCCTAGTCTTTGACCACAGCTTTGAAATGCTAAGCAACCTTCATCAAGGCCGAAGGGAGCCAGGAACCAGTTCCTAGCATATATGGCCAAAGTTGAGGTATTTATATGTGTCTAACCGTCAAATCCTCCCTCCTGGGTCCTTGAGCACATAGTGATCAGCTTCTGGGAGGCAGAGATTGAGTCTTCTGATGAACCCATCTGCAGCTTCCAGCACCTATTTACAGGCCACTGGTGCTGTTGGTGTCAGCGTCTGTCATGAGTGCCCTCCAAATAATAAAAACTCCATCCCTGAAGCAGGAAGCAGCCTGAGCATACTCACATTGGCATGGGGCTCCATCCTGGTGGAGAGGCTCTAAATCAACATACTAGCTAAGCAAAAAGCACTACTTTAACACTCTATCAGTGCCCAGCAGTATACGGAAGCTTTTATCAAACACCTGTGACAGGCAGACTTCCTATCTGGGACGTTTACAGATGGTCTCATTTACTCTTGAGAGTTGAAAATTATCATTATTCCCCTTTGACAAATGAGAAAAGTGATACTTAAGGCCCAACATCCCAAAGCTGGTGCAGAGAGATCAAGGCCCGGCTCAGCGCCGGCTGGGCCCCTTTCACTGCCTGCTGCTCTGGAGTGGCCGGCCTGCTTGTGTGCCTCAAGCAGACGCACAGTTCTCATCTGTATCCGTACATTCCAGGTTCTGTACCTTTGCGCATACCAGCGTTGGCCTAGAAACGGCTTTTCTGCTCCTTCCTACCTGTTGAAATCTCCTTCCCTTTACCTCCCAGAGTGCACAATTCTCCAATCTCTTCATTTGGAATATACCCATTCTCCTGTTCTCAGGAGATAAAGCCGGAAATGCCCCGTAGTATAACTCTGTTCCTCAGGAGAACATGAGTTCCTTGAGGGAAAGGCCTGTGGGTAATTTTCATGTTTGTTTTTTTCTGAATGAGTGGTAAGAAAGTGCTTACTGAACCACTAGAGTGAAAAAGGGGAGAAGTCAGGATTACATTTGAATGCATCTGTGCGATAAAAGGCCATGAACAAATTAGCTTGGCATACAGCGCATCATTTGAGAAAGCAAACTTATTATCATAACTCAGCTCCAGTCACAAGGCATACTCTCACCAGCCCTCTGACTCATAAAATGTGAAACTTAAAACCAGAATGTCTAGGAAATGAAAGGAATAAAATAATAAAATCGCTTCCAAAAGAAGCTTTTCATAGCAATGCATTTCATCCATACACTAGGGAGAAGGTTATAGCACAAGAGGAAGAAGATGCAGGGCAAAGGAATAGAGCTCACCTTCCAGCAAGCCACACTTAAGGACCTCACACGGTCCCTGTTTTGTTGTGGTTGCACTAGCGTTCACCTGTGCTGGAAAACATGCACTTCACTCTGCAATCAGATCTACATGGAATGGCACCCAGGGATGCCTTACTTAGAACGATTTAAAGCGGTCTTGATTGAAAAACATCTCCACCATGGTTTTATACTAGACACAAGTACATGCTACCTTCTCTGTCAGGACCCCATAAAACAGTACATTATTTTTTATCCTAAACAACCATTTTGAGAGATTTTTTAACAAAAATAATCGCCTCACAAACAGAACATTTCCTGATCTATAAGTCACTTTGAAAACAAATCATTACGCTGTTGAATATTTTATGATGGTCCAAAGAGCTGAAGGAAGCCAGGCGAACATCCACCACTCTGTGCCATGTCTATTTTGGGACTCCCCAAGCAAACTGCAAATGGTTCCTTTCTTTTCTAAACACTCACTTGCAAGTGCTGGATGGATTCTTGATCAAATATTGTCTCCACCCAAACTGACCCTTAATCACAGAGACCCTGAGGGTCCACGTCTCTGGATTTCTAGTTGAAAGACCTTAATGAACACATAGTGAGCAGCACTGTAGCCCTGTTGGAAGTGACCAAACCAGTGGGGTCTTGACCAAGGTCACAGAGCCTGGAAGGCAGAAGCGCCATCAGGTCCTAGAGCTCCAACTCCCAGCCCAGGGAGCCTCCTCTGCTTCCACGGACTGATTCAACATTCCTCCTTGCAGCCCCGCCAAAGCTGCTCCAGGTTAGTGACAGGAGCCTGGAGTTGACGTCTATGAGTCCCCACATGCCTCTCTCTCCCCACAAGGAACCCTGGAGCTGGGGCACTCCGGAGTGCCCCTCGACTCACAAAGTGGCAATGCAGGCATGGCGCTTTGCTGGTCGTCCCTGGCAAACCCTTCCTGGCCCAGGTGTGGCTGTCGAGCCAGGGCAGGGACTGCCGGCCTCAGGTCACTCAGAAAGTTGGCTGGCCACGGCCGCACCTGAAGCCAGGTTCGCGGGTCTTTAACTATACCACGCAGATCTTGGAAACTTAAGCGCAACACCAATCGGTCCTGTGCAGCGTTAACCCTTGCAGGTCTGAGCTAGTCGGAGACAAAGCCCCGCGCAGAGCAGAGACACCAGGCGGGAGGCGGCGCGGGTCACCCGGACCAGCGGTGCAGGCGGAGGGCACCGTGGCGAGCAACGTGGAGCAAGCCGAGGGCCGAACAGCCTGCAGCTCCCGGAGGCACAGGCCCGGGTGCAGGGAGCAGCAGGCTCCCCAGAACTTTGCGGCGCCAGGACCTCGCCCTTACCTGCAGAGGCGGTGCTGCCCGCGCCAGCGAGGACCCGGCGGCTGACGCTCGGGTGAGGCGGCCCCGCCCAGCGCGGGGACCGTGGCGGGCCGGGTTCTGGCCGTGGCTCGGCTCGGCTCGGGCTGGGCTGGGGCTCCGCCTCCCGCGCCGCGGCTGCAGCCGGAGGTGGGGGGAGCCGGGCCGCGCCGTCTGGCGGCGGCAGGTGCTGAGGCTGCAGCTGTGGGGCCGCCAGCTGCCAGCGCGCGACCCCCGCCCGGGGAGGAGTCCACCGCGCCACCAACTGGAGCTCCGGAGGTCCCGGCCACCGCAGTGGGCGGTCCTGCTCCCACCCGGCCCTGCCTCCACCGACCTTCCCCGGCCACCCGCTGGGGCGCGCAGCGTCCGCCCAGTTCCCACGGGGACACTGAGGCCTGGAGAGGAAAGGGACTCCCCAAGGTCATCCAGAACTGAAGTGATAGCTGGGCCAGAGCTGTGACCCAAAACTACCCCCGCCTTCTCTCCCCTACAAACAAATTATGCGGGACCCTGGGGGATGTGAAGGATTTGTAATCTCCTCTACCCCCTTCCCTAGCCCCAACCCCAAAGGACCCAAGCCAAGAGGAGTTGGAGGGGGTGGCATTACGGACAACTTCCGTTGGTCTGCAAACTCTTTCCTTGCTGAGCCGGACGCTTTTCAGGCCCCTCCAGCCGTCCCTGTTGGTCACCTGAAGGGCTCTTCAAACCTGGAAGCCCTGAACTGCTGAGGATCCTTGGAGCTCTATGCTCAGATCACTCCCCTGAGCATTTCATCTGAGCGGACTCCACTTCTACCGACTCTCTGTCCAGCAAACCCCAATGTATCTCTCTAATCCAATAACTTTCCAAGTTGAATTATCTATTGAACACGTACCAGGCCCGCGTGTGTCAGACACTGGACATACAGCTTCCATAAAACTCAACCCCTGTCCTCAGGGAAGTACCATCTAATGGGCTCCAGGAACAGCAGCACCATTCCAGGACACCATGCCAGGTGCCTCAAACCTGAACAGCCAGCTGGGGCTGACCAGTGAAAGGGAAGCATGTGGAAACAGCGTACCACTGGAAGGCTGCAGGAACAAAGACCTCAAGATGAAGGGATCCCACTAAGAGAGGGACAGGAGTTGAGAGCTGAAAGGGACAAGCTGGACAGTCAGAGGGACCTGGTCAGAAGTTGGTGCTCTGTTCCCAATGGAAAGGCAGGGTCATGACAATTTTCAGTATTTAAAGGGGGGTTACCATCAGATTGACAAGTTAGACCATTCTGGGGATCAGAGGACAGACAAATGTTCTTCACCCATGGTGGGAGGGACACTGTAGCATTTTGGAGCCAACCCAGCCTAGATAAAGATGGTCACTCCCACACCAACCTCTTCTCTATCCTTCATCCCTAGATCCCGGCCTTTATGCAGAAACTCTCCTGAGTGATCCATCTTTGAAAGTCTGGTAAGTACCTACCCCTAAAGTTTGCTTTTTCTCTTGGCGCCCAGCCTGCTCCCACCCAGATCTATGGGCTGAGTGAGCCTGTGCTCCTCCAAGTCTGCTTCTCTCCCCAGTCTTTGCCGTAGAAAAACCATACAAAGTTCAGCACAGGGAAAGCACCATTAGGGGAAATGGACAAAAATGGAAGACTTTGAAGCCAACATGGAGATAGAGTAAACTTTTAAAAATGTTTAGCTGAGTATAGAAGCACACACCATAATCCCAGCACTCTGGGAAGCTGAAGTAGGGCAATTAGACATTTGAACCCTACCTGGGTAACTCAGCAACTTAGCAAGTCTGTCTCAAAATAAAAAATTTTAAAAAGGGTTGGAGATGTACTCAGTGTGGAGACCTGGGATCAATCTCAAGTACAATACACACACACACACACACACATTTTCCTTTACTGTTCGTTACAACTGCCCATGAATCTACAATTTTCTAAAGATAAAGTTTAATTTAAAAGGTGTGCTGGAGATAAAAATTAACAATCAAGTTATGGTCTCTAATCAGGATAAGCACCAGAGTGCACTTGTTCAAAAGGGAGATATGAAGGAAGCGCTCTCACCAACAAGTGTAAACCTTCCCCATGGAAAGTTGTCCCATCTGTCTGTTTCCTAGCTGCCTACTCCAGAAGCTTCTGCTTCTTCCAATGCTGTTCTGTACAGCATTTCTGTCTGGACAATGCTACCTTTGGCTCTAGGGACCTGGCTCTCATTCTGATTGTTCTTCCTTCTGTGGCTACTTTGCCATTTCTTTCTTATCTGCCAACCTGGAACACACTGAGGTTCTTCACACTCACTCTTGATCGCTTTTCTCCCCTCACTTTCGCCAGGCTATTCTGCTGGATGTGTGACTCTTCAGCTGTGCTCCAAATGCTGCTTGCTGGACAACTCCTGAATATTGTCCTGGTTCCCCAGGCTCAACAGAGCTCGCACCAAAGTCACATCTTTTGCCCAAGTTAACTCCTCTGCGTGGTTTCCCTGTCTTTACTGGTGGTGATACCATCTTTCCCCAGACATTTAAATTAGAAACCAAAGGGATGTTTTAGACTCTTCTCTCTTCCCGGCCCCCACACCCTGCTGGACATTAAGACCAGTCAACTCTAACACACATCTCCTCCTTTTCATCTGGCTGTCCTTGCTGGAGCTGGAGCCTTGCTGATTCTTGCCAAGGTTAGTGTCATCTATTTGCCATGCATCCTTCACACATTGCCTATGGTCTTTTACACCCACAAATCTGCCACCAACTAATGAATGGATTAAAAAAAGATATTTTTAATACAAAGGAGCACTACTCAGCCATAAAGAAAGATAAACTTGAGACATTTCTAGCTAAATGGATGCACCTTGAGACCATACTCTTCAGTGAAATAAACTGGACACATATGTGTAAATTCTGGGGTGAGAAACTGAACATGTAAATAAGAACCAAAATGTCTAATAGATATTGTGAAATAGGCAGAAATTGTTCAAAAGGAAAGGGGATCTAGGGGAAAGGGAGAAGGTAAGGAAGGGAGAGAAAAGAAAAAAATGAGAAAAGAGGGCTAAACTGAAAACAAAGTTTTGTAAATAAGGAGGGGAAGAGAGTGAAGGGGAAGGGGAATGGGAGAAAAAAGAGGCATCAAGATAATCACATAGAGGTGCAAATTCCCCATGATGAATGTAACCAATATGTATATCTAAATTATACCAATAAACTTAATTTTTAAAAAGCTCCACAAATCTCTGGCAAGTACAAGGTTATGAGTTTGATTTCCAGTACCCATATCTCTGACAATCACTTGTCTGCTGAAAATACTTCTACTGTCCCTTCTTCACCTAGAGATAAAGTTTTAGTGCCTTGGCACTGCGTTCCCGTAGCTACCCCTGCCGCGTCATCTTTACCTCACCCCACCCGTAAACACCCCACACTTTATGTTCCCAGGGCACATCATTCAATAAAGGGTCTGGAGCACATTGCTAAAAAATGTAATCTGGGGCCAGACCAGCTGGGTTCCAACCCCAGGGCTGCCATTTTTAACCTGTGTAATTTAGGGAAAGTTGCATAATCTCTCAGTTCTAGGTTTCTGTCTTTGCAAAGAGAGGATAATGAGAATACCTATAACCAATGCTCTCAAAAGTCGGAGCCTCTAGAGAAGATGACTTCCTAGCCAGCACTATTCATAATACTTACGACTGTTACATGCAGGGAAGATTGTTTTAGTTCTTACAGAAAATGAAACTGAGGTTCCAAGAAGTAAAGTGACTTACTTAAGATCCCACAGCTTCAAAGTGACTGCCCTGAGAGTCTGATGGGACTCTAAATCCCACACCTCTATTAACTCTACATAAGCTATTTCATTCCTCTGAGAGTCTTCCTCATTTCCACATCTTTCCCCTGACCTTACAGATGACCACTTCTTCCTTTAAATCCTGGTCAAAAGTATTTCATCTTCCACAAAGTCTTCCTAGTCCAGCTTTGTGCCTCTGCTATCCTTGACATGTATGCAAGAGGTCACCCAGTGTAACCAGTACAATGGCTTGTTAACCTGTCTGTCTCCTTGAGACCTCTCTGAGAAATACCAAGTTTTTTGAAAATATCTTATTTATTTTGTCTTTCTAGAATTTCATTAATACATGTGGAATGAATTAATAAATCAATAAGGTGTACAAAGATTCTCAAAAGAGTTTTAGTCTAACAACTGTCATTTCAATATAGATCACTTTTAATCTGTTTGTATCACTCTCGAGGTCATGTTGGTGACAGGATAGCATCAAAGGATCCACTATTAATATAGAGCAAGATGCAGCCAGACTGAAATTTCTCACACTGCTATCTGGTTGTGCCTTGTCCCTCTCAGATGTCTCTCCTTTTTTTAGTGACACCATATAATAACCCATAATGAGAAGCTGTGTTGCGTTCTAATGAGACTTCCTGACTAAAACATCTGAGGTTTGAATTTATTTCCCATAAGTACCATTTCAGCTAAGTTTGCTTTCTCTGTGTCAGTGAGTGTTCCATTTTTCATCTACTAAGTGCCTATACCTCCCCTTTATCTATATTAATCTTCTTTGCATTCAAATACTAATAAGAGCTGACTTAATAGTTGGCTTTTTCTGTACAATTTCCTTCTTAGAATGCCTGACTCTTCCAGACTGCACATTTATTGTTCCAAAAATAGGATAGTTTACTGCTTCAAATTTCAGCTTTACTGTCTGCAGTGATTTAGGACAAGTTTCTGCTCTTCCTCAAAATTACCAAATTCCATATAGTAAAAGGAAGAAAAGAGCAAGAAAGAAAGAAAGAAAAAGAGAAAGAAAAAAGGTCCTGATTTATCATTTTGCATGGGATGATGATGGAAAATTACATGTTAGAAAGATTTAAACTATATACAGAACACAGTTACATCGGCAATTTTAATACTTTCAGATTAAATCAATGAGAATCGGCACAAGGGAAAGGAAGAACATGGTCTGGGGAACAGAATGAGAAGGCATTTGGGGAGTGTTCTTCACTAGTTCTGTTACTCTAGGTTTCAGGAGATAGGAGAAATAGGACTGGTGACTTCTACGTCTCTTTTAGATCTAGAGTGACAGGATTCCATAATGGGCTGCCAAGTGATCATTTACTCAATATTGGTGAGAGCCCACTATAGACTTCAATTTGTTTTTTTCTTTTTCACTTAAAGAGGATAAAACCGAGGAAAATAAGGCAGAATAAAATCAATCAAAACAAACCAGTATAAGTGATATAGAACTTCAAAACCTTATGAAATCAGCAATAGTTATCATAATGTCTTTTGTTGTCTTCAAAATAGCTGCATATACCTTCAGACATAAAACAAAACAATAAAATGGAAACAATAAAAACAAAACAATGAATGCAATAAAGGACTTTAAAACAAGCCAGTAGTAAATCCAAAATGGCTACCATAATATGTCTTGCTGTCTTTTAAATAGCTGCTCCTGCCATCAGATTTAACATAATCAAACAAATCAGAAGACAATAAAACCCAACCCAACAAAACAATGAAAATTATATGGTTTCCAGGTGGGGATCACTTTTTAGTGAGGCCTGGTTCTTCTCTCCCTCCACAGTCCACAAATGGCACTGACTCACAGAGAGAAGTCTGTGTCTCGGTGTCTCCACTCCAGTAGTGGCCCGCACATGGTGCTGGTTTCCAGCTGGAGATCACCTTCTTGTGAGAGACTTCAATTTTTTTGAAGTGTAATGATTTGCACATAAATCCAGACAGGATAGAGAATACACTGGCTTTGCTAAGAGAGTATATACCACATAAACTGATTTTTTTTAGTATTCAAGGTCTTCATAAATGCAAGGCTATAGTGAAGAGGTTTTTATTAGAATTTTAATGAGATTAGACCTGGGGACTGTTAAGAGTGTGGCAGGAAGATCATCAGAATAGCCCCTCTGAAGATCTATGCCCAAGTTCTAGATATTACTTCTCTCTGTCTTGCAGCATGGCAAGTCCAATTCTCTGGGCTACAGTTTACTCTTATAAAATGAAAGAAAGCTATCTGATGACAATAAAGATTCCTTGAGCTCTTCACCAAATGATGCCCTGAGATCAAGAAAGCTAAATTGTTATCTAGTCACTACAGGGGTGCTACTGTGTTCTGCAAAAAAACGGGGCATTTATCATGAGGATTACACTCCCTATTAAGGACAAGGAAATTGTTGCTCTATGGACAGAAATATGGCATATAAACAATATGTTCTATTCTTTATATTCTAGGATGCAGAAGCAGACATTCATAGCTTACTTCTTAAAAATGAAACATCCTGAGATCAGGGAGGTTGGCTAGGAAGTCTATTATCTGTGAGTAAGTGGAAAGAGACCAGTCATGTAATTCTCCCCAAACCTTGCCTCATCCCTTATCACAGTAATTCCCCCCAAATGACCTATTGTTACAAATTTTTTGGTAATGAGGGAAGTACTGGTTGAAAATATATCTCTATTATGGATTGCTTTTCTTAGCTCTCCTAGAAACCTTGTCTGCCTATAGTTTTCCTATTCCTCCATGATAAAATTGGGATTCTAATCTATTACCAATGCAGTAGGCTTAATGACAAAAAGCACAGAGAAAGGGTAGAATAATTATATAGAATTGTATGTGACTACCACAACTTAAACACATTCAAGCTTGGGAAATTGAGGCAGGAAGATTATGAGTTTGAGGCCAGTCTGAGCTACATAGCAAGCTCAAGACCAACCTTAAGTACATAATGAAAACCTGTCTCAAAAAAAAAAAGTCAAGGACTCTACATCTTGCATCAAATATAAATTAATCCTTATCCTTGGTTGATATATCAGTGTTTGGGAGATAGTTTTGAATATGTAGGAGTGGTTTTAGCATTTTTCACTGCTTCTTTTTCATCTCTTTGTAAAATTTTCTTTATTTCTACTGGTTCAGCCTTTGGGAGGTGAGCTTCTGTGAAGAATGCATACCTTTGAGGTTGTGGCCAATCTTGCCAACTAGATTTGGTCCGACTCCCACAAGCTGGGGTCTATGCTGAATCTGCTAAGCGACTAAATTTAAACTTAAACATTTCAACTACAGAAGTGAAAAACAAGAAGAACACAACTGAAAACTGACTTAATGATCTGAAAGATGAAAAGGAGAACTATCTCACAATGCCAAGCCGAGGATACAAAGAAATAGAAATTGTGAGTGAAAAGGTTAAAAAAAATAGATGAATTATCTAGGAAACGTACAAGTAACAAGAGTATAAAATGGAACAAAAATAACAAGAGAGTATAACAATGGTAAAAAAAAATAGAAGAAAAACGTGTGGACTTTAAGAATCTTGAATTATCAGATAAAAAGTTCATTGGTTCTTATATATCTAAAATTTCCAGTCCTGGACAAGATGAAGATAGGTACTTCTTCCTGCTAAGTACCATTAAAAGACTACTATAATATATGAACAACGTAAGAAGGCTCTGAATGCTGTACAGAGAAGGAAAGCAAGCTAAGAACCTCAGGATTCAGGGAGTAACAGCAACGAATTCCCTTCTCTATACTCCAGACAGAGCACTAAGAAGTCAGCAACTAGGAAATATCAATACACAAAAAAACAAAAAGCAAGCAAAGCAAAGCAAAGCCTGAACTCTATAGCCAAAAGAGTGGGAAGGTTAGCTAACAAGCAGAAACCACTGTGACAGTATCCACTGGACCGTCCAGCCAAAAACTACGGGGAAACTGGCACATAACCTTTCCTCTTTAACTCTGCTATCCCTGACCAGTGGAGGGTAAGTGGGAACTCGATTTTCACTCCGACTCTGCTATAATAAAACATACTTCCTATACCACATCAGGGGAGTTTCAGTAGACGCTAAATGGAGAACTTAGGCCTCCCTTTTCACCCAGTGAGAAGCCCATGGTTCGTCTTCTCCTACCAGTACACTGTATCACTTGAGGCTCACTAAATAGAGACTCAAAGATCCAGAATCTGCAGCAAAATAATTAAATGTCCAGGGTCTAATTTAAAAATCACTAACCATACCTAGAACCAGAAGAATTTTACCTTGAATGAGAAAAGACATTTGATAAATTTCAAAATGAATATGCTATAGATACAATAAGGTTTTTTATTTGCATAATGAATATGCAATTATACAATAAGGTTTTTTAAACAACCAACGTAAAAAAATGTTTTAATCCACAATTATGAATTCTCTGAAACAAATGAAAGCATAAGAAAAGACCAGCAAAGAAAC